TAAGGAGGAGTCGGCATCCTAACACGATTGTATTCAGTGCTCCCAGCACGCAGATCCATCCAGCACTTCTTACAGTACGGTGATAGCTTTAACTCCCAGAGTCAATGAGGCCATTTCTGTTTGGCAATCTCTGTTACCCTCCTTTTTGTATTCTGACTCTTACTTTACTTGCAGTTGCTTCACCCAATGCAGTGTTTTTGCTTGATGTGGGGATTGTCAGAGTAGGACAAGCTACTATGGAAGCAGGGAACCTCGCATCACCTCATGCAACTCACAGCCTAGGACATGCATTTTTTTCTAGTTCCTAAGTGGTGCATTGTGGCAAATAGGAGTTTCTCAAAATATCCTCCTACGTAATCTTGCAGAGGCAACCCCCCATGATGTGCTTTCGGCCCACGTATATCCATTGAATTCTCAAGGGCATCGCCATTTTGGGGTTCTTTACATGAACATGCATGTCATTGCCAGGAGCACTGGCTCCGATAGCTTGGTGGCTTAGGCGCTGAGTTTTTCTCAGGAACTTACGTCAAGGTTTCCAGGGCTGTGCCTCGATATGACCATGTTCTGAATCCATACTTCCCTAGCGTTGTAGGTGTACTATCTTCGCAATCTGCGGGGTACAACTTTTAGATCCATGATTGCGTGGTTGGAGGCAAAGGCAACCTGTTGTGTGTTTTCTTGTTACGCTTTGCTGCAGCTCCTCATGCTTGGGCAAGAAATTATGAACCACCTAAGTACCACGGAGACGGGGATTTGCAGTTTAGTGCCTGCTTTTATGTTGTGATCGCGTTGGATGTTCTGATGGGCAGCTACTGCCCTTGTCAAAGGCGGCGGTTCGCAAGGAGACGCGTGGTTTCGGCAGCACAGGCAAAGCAAGTTTGCCAAGCTACTAATCCTGCATTTTTGGGACAGCCTGTGGGGCAGTATAGGCAAAGAAAAGAATACTAGGACTAACATGTGCGGCCAGACAGCAATGTGTAGTCTCTGCTCGATGTCTTGCTTAGTTCCGACGCTCAAAAGGGTTATGTAAGTTCAGGGCGCGCAGGTTTTTAGGTTCACAGCTAGTTTCGGCTTGTCTAAGCATGCAGGATGCAGCGCGCTTCACACAGGCCAGTTGCATCGATCTTCCCTGCCTGTCCTTCTGTAGCTGTGAAACCGTGCTTCCAGCTGCAATGATCTGTTGGATTCTTTGCCATTATCAGAATGAATTTGCAGTAGGTCCAAGTCCAGCTGTTGTTTGCAACAGCTTTCCACACGCGCGGAGAGTGGCTTACGAGGCGGACCTCTTGACCAAGACAGTCAAAGACTTGAAGGTGCTGTGCAAGCAGAGGTGCTGGCGCTCGGATGGACTTGTTGAGGGGATCATGTGGCCTTCCAAGAACTAGCGTCCATCTGAAGACCTCCTTGATTCTGAAGGAGGAGATCAATTTTTGAACAAGCTTGGTTAGTTCCCAGCGTCAGCTCTTCTGACGCCTTTGCGCAATTGCGTTTTGAGATGTTTCTACATGATGCTGGATCAATTGTTTGGAACACACATTTTCTTCGGAGTATGACAGGGATTACTTTGTATTGGTACCTTTCCGCCAGGCTTAGTTATTCAATCCAAGCATGCTGCAAAGGCCCTGGTTCTGCAACCCCCATGGCATCCACAATCATGCAGAGATTCATTGCGACAAAAGCTGGCTCAGGCTCAGCTTCAGAGTTCTTGAATTCGAACCATATATACACGAGACCGACGCAAAGAAGCTGCGTAACAACAATTTGGGAATGAAACCGAGGTCTCTGGGTGTTTCTGGCAAGAAGGCAGACCTGATACACCGCCTCATTCAGGCAGGTTTGCTTCGAAGTAGAAACTTGGCCAGTAAGTCCAAGATGGAGAAGTTGGGAGACTGCGGGCATCATAAGAGATCAGATTCAGTTTCCTCAGGATGGTTTACAGGATTAGGGGAAGGCGTTCCAACTGAAATGTGTTCCTCTTCTGCTTCTGACATCTGCTTGTCTGTACATTCTTGGGTTCCTTTGTGCCCGCCCACATGGTGGCAACGTTGCTCTGCTTGTTCTGTACTGAGCATGAGTTTGGCATGCAAAAAGATGTGCCTTGCGTTGCCAGGCAACAGCAGGGTTGGAACCTCGTGTGGCCTGCGCCCAAATGCCTTGCTTCCCGACACCAGCTCCTGAACGCTGAGACGTAGTCCCCATCCTACGCCCTAACCTTTAAAGTTGCTAAAGCCTCAGGGCCACTGAGTTGTTCAGCATGCGTCAGCCTCTGGGGTCACACCTCTAAACAACGTGACCGCTCTCTGGGGCACTTCCCTCATCTTCGGCAAGAATTTGGTTAAGAGAACAGGCTTAAGCCGTTACTTCGTAAACGCGTTCCATTCCCAATGCAGTTCTGCAGACTCTGTTGACGGAGGAAGCCTGCACAAGCTATTGTTGCGATTCCTATGATCTGGAATCTAGGGCACCTACGTCAATGCAGGATTTCTTTCATCCATGAGAGCTCATACTCAGAGACCGCGTGTAACGCTGGACGGTTCTGCACGTCGTTGAACGAGGCCATCGCAACTGCGGAGGAGGAGGACGAGGAGGAGGCAGCGCAGCCTCCGAGCATTCAGCACACCCAGGCCACCCCGGGTGTTGAGCAGCAGGAGCATCAAAACTATGGATTTCAGCCCGGCCTTTGTGATCAGCATGGCGATCACCACCTCGAGCAAGATCAGTTTATTCCTTTACTTTATCATCATCGTCTTTATCAATGATACCGACAGTTCCACCAGCTCTGTGTGAGTGAGTACGTCCTGTCACCACCACCCAGAGGCTTGCTGCCAATGGCACTGATGCTTTGCTGCCGGTATAGTTTTCGGTTGTCACTGCAGGTCCTGGTATTAGTCGACCATTACTACCTCCTCCTCATCCTCCTCTTCGTATTAGTCTTCTGCTCCTCACATCACTTCTAGGACTAGGATGACCACGGTGATCGTTTGAATGTTCTTGTTCTTCTTTTTGTTTCCCCGTTCTTTTTGTGATCATCCCTACAGCCAGCCCCAGGCACACCGCGAGCTGAGTCAGTTCTCCACCGACGACCTGCGTGGCCTTTGTGAAGAGAGGTGCTGGCCTTATTGCGCAGTGTACCAAGCCTTGGTTACTTGCGAAATGGAGCCTTTTAGTTCTGGGTAGAAGGGGGGACCCCTACGTTGCCAAAGAGCTTCCATAGATGTAAGCCAGCAAGGCTTTTCGGAGCTTGAAGATCTTTTGCTCTGAGGGGTCTCACCTCAACCGGCACGAAGGCACGGGAACGGAATGGCCACTACGCATCGACTTAAGTCATTGCACACAGTCCAGGGGGCTGGTAGACTACCAGGAATTAGGAGGCAATTGAGTCAGCTTTTTGGGTTGCTCAGTAGGACCAGTAGGAGATGAAAGCGTGGTTGGTTATTGTGGGGACTGCTGCGACGCAGAACGCAGGATGAGGGGGCTTATCCCATTTCGCTTGGTAATTACATGCATTACTCTGCGATGGCTCTGCTCCTGTTGCTTTTCTGTGTTGGAAGCCACAGCCACAAGCTATTGCGGATTTCTACATTGAATCCACAAGCAACATTGCCGTTGAGCCTTGTTTCAGTCTATCCCGCCAAATTATAATGTAGTAGTTTCCATTTTCTTTTCCACTATCCCTATATAGCCCCTACCCTATCTTAAACCCCTAAACCCTTAAACCCTTAAACCCCGAAACCCTTAAACCCAAACCCTCAAACCCTCAAACCCCTAAACCCTCAAACCCCTAAACCCTAAACCTTTAAAACCCTCACAGTTGATAGGCCGACCTCGTGCGCCGCCTGGCGATCCTGCAGGCTGCGGGAAGGTTAGGGTTTAGGGTTTAGGGTTGGGGGTTTAGGGTTCAGGGTTTTAGGGTTTGTTTGGGGGTTTCCCAAAATTAGGGGGTTTTAGGGTTTAGGGTACCTACTACCCCCAATAATGGAGAATCACATGGAAAAGAAAGAAATGGAAACTGGGGTTATACAAGGGTTTATGGGGATACGGGTTTCCGACAATTAGGGGTACCTTTTTGTGGGTCCCTATAATAAGGACTATAGTATATTGGGGTCTATATTGGGGTCCCCTTATTTAGGGAAACTACCATTTGTGTAAAGGTCAGGTTATGAAGACCAATGACATGGGGACCATAGAGGAAGGTAGAGGGGTTCTTCAAGGCTCCTTGGGATTGTCTGTACTTTACATCCCAAACCGTACTGCTTTTGATGCTTTGATCTAATGCCAGAGAGCTTAGGCCTTCCTGCCAAGAATAGCAGATTTTAATCAAAGACTCGGCGGTCCTTTGCAGGGGCTGCCAGTAATGCCAGCATTAGCTGCAATCGTGGCAGTGTCAGTCGTCGTGCTCGTGGGGATAGTGGTAGGGCGGTTGCAGGGCAGTGGCACTGTTCCATTTTCTTACAGAGGTACCCTGTGGGCACTCCTTCGGCTGTTGTGTTGCAGCTGCCAGGCGCAGGAAGTCGACAGGGAGGATGCCAGGAAGAACCAAATGAGTCCCGTCTCCAGCGGCGGAGGGTCCTCTACTCAGACTACGACGCGCGCTATGTGCAAAGCCTTAGAATCAGCTCATGACAACCTACGATCGGTGATGAGACAGTCTTGTATGAGGCAAATGAAGTCGGCAGAGGACAAGTTTTTGCAGGCTGCGGGTGGCGGGCTTCCGGTGGCGTCACAGACATTGCTGCTGGTGCTTCCAAGCGGTACCACTTTTGGTCATACCGCTGCAACGCTGCTCCCAGTGATATGACCGGCGTCATAGCTGTACAAACGTTTTACTAGCAATGCGCGTATTGCACTTGGTAAATAAGGACAGGCCATTCATTACCAGGATTGCTGTTGCCATTCAGTTGCGTCTGCCAGAGCAGATCCGTTCCAACGACGAGAAACATGAGGGTTGTTGCGTTGTTATCCTTATGACAGTTCTAAGTCTTGTTGACGTAAGTTAACAGATGTTTCTGGTCTCGGGTCTGCAACAGCGAAAGGCCATGCGCTCGGATGAACTGGACATCCGCACGCTCGAGGTTTGGGGCATCACACGTATGGATTTCCTGTGCAACGGATCCCATCTGGATTTCTTTTGAAGCCCCGACTGTATATACGGAAGTGTCCATTAGGGGTTGTACTCAGAGCAGTTTTTTCTGGTTATTAGCACTGAATCTCTGTATGTGAGCTGCAATAGAAGTTGGACGAATGTTTGGAGAACATTCCGTACATGGAGCGGCTGTTTTGACATTGCTAGCCCTCTTCGTTACCGAGACAGCAAAGAGTGCTGCAAATTCACCCCAGTGCTTCAACCAAGACTGATTGAGCCGTACCATGGGTTACCTGACAACGACAGACCGAACTTTAGTTGTGTTCAGGTTAGTAAGAGTGTAGTTGTTGAAGCTGTGGCAGTGGCGAGAATGCTTTATGCTTTATATCCTTTTGGAAGAGGGAGGTAGAAAGAACTTCTCACAAGACGGCATAGTGATTTACCCAACCTGATCCACCAGATGATGATCGATGTAGAGTGTACTAGCTGCCAGAAGTGGAATCCTCTTCGCCCAAGAGCATAGGATAGACACTGCATGGCCGCTAACCCGAGACAGCCAGGAAATTTTCAATGCCGAGATGCCAAAGCCGGGTGAGATCGTCTCGGTTGGGGTCTTTCTTGTCAGACAGAAGCCAATACATGCATTCAAACATGGTTCAGGAACTGGTGATGGGTTTTAATGGCGGCATGTTTGGATTATGATTTTATGCACGAGAGGGCAGGCCTGCGAAAATCAGAATCGAGCTGCAACAGGGGAGTTGTAACCGACTAAACGGCCTTGGGGACTGCAGCGGGTGGCTGCGACAAGAGGCCTGCGACAGCAGGGATGAGGGGCGTTGCGGCACACCACCAGGGTTTTCATCAACAACGATATTTTCCGATGCCTATTTGAGGATCGCCAGAGCTGCAATGTGGATCCTCATTTTTTTTGTCTAGCCGTCATTCTTTGTTGCATGGTGTGGTTGTTGTGCTGATGAAGATTCTGACGGCAGGTCGGAAGGACACAGAAACACAAAGAATACGCTATACTTTGTTTAGTCGTCCCCTGAACTCACGACACGACAGTTCAGGTATCCAAGAAGTTGTAAAGAAGAGGAATGATGATCGCGCTGGTGTACATTCATCACTTCCAAAAGCGAAGATTGCTGTCAGTTGCCTTCCCTGCTGACCCTTTTGAACCCGACAGCGCGCCGACTTGCACGCAGGGCCCTAACAAAAAAACTCAACAACCCAAACCCCAAAAACCAAAGCCCCAGCACTACTGAGGGGATTGTCACCTCTGTGGTGGAGTGGGGTGCTTTTGTGGAGTTGGAACGGACTGGCTGGCCTTGCTGACCCGTTTCTAGTTCAGAGGTTTTAGGGTGTAGTCTTTTCATAGCTTTGGAGGTGCTGTTCAGTGCTTCTAGGGGTTTGGGAAGTATACGGTTTGGTCTTCTTGGATACGCGTGGGTTTTACCAGGCCTGTCAGGAATTTTCTGTGATTTTGGTTGCCCATAATCTTCAACACGACCTACCCAACTACTCTCAAAACCTACGTTTCGTTGGCTAGGAATGAAGGAATGGATCCGTATAGTAGTCCCCTTAAAACTCATTATAGTAGTTTCCATTTTCTTTTCCGTTCCTTCATTCCCAGCTGACCAAAGGTAAGAAAACTTCAGTCTCCAAACCCGAGTCCCGCACCCAACGGCAGGTCGGGCCTCGTGCATATCTCCGAGGCCAGCTTATGCTGAGATGTTGGGACAGCTATGTGAGCTTCAGCCTAAACTCCTTCAAGGTGGTTATATAGGGTTTAGGATTTAGGGTTTGGCTTAGGGTATTATATCGGGGGCTATTATGGGTTCATTAACTATAGCTCATGTGACGTGTCGGTTCGCTGCCTTTTAGAGAGCCGCCATACGATGGAGGGTAGGGGATGTACATGGGAAGGGGTGAACAAATTACGATTCTGAAGAGATCCATAGAGTAGTATGGACGACGCCAGGATCTAGCTGAAGTGGCATATGTGTTTTTGGATTGTTATGGTGCTCGGAGCTTACTCCAAAACGTCTTACAGCAAGCAGCCTATGTCATCCAGGACTGGAGTTGGAGGCTTGAAGGAAGAATGTCTTCAGAGGTGAATCCGAGACATGTTGAGTGGGAGGTTACAACAGGGCTCAAAGGAGTTTGCCAGCCTTGAAGTCAATCGAATCATTGCCACGTGCCCAGCTCAGCGACGTGTACATCGACAACATCGAGGACTTTGTACAACCCGGGCAGCGCCTTGAGGCTCGGAGCTCTTCTCGGCTGATCTCTGTTGTTCCCTGCTTTGAGGTTCTTATCTAGGCCGGGTGTCTGGGCCTGCAGCAGTTTTGATGTTTGCGCCGAAAAGCGGTCTTCTGCCAGGCGCTTGTGATCCAGAGACCTGGAGACCGATTGGATAGGCAGCGTCGCGGAGCCTTCCGTATGTTGTTTGTGGACAATGCACGGATTGAAGTGGATGACGTTCCTTTAAGGAGGTTCTTCAGACCCCAAACCCTAGACAATCATATAAAACCCCAAGAGAGCCCTTCTGAGCCCATAGTGTTTTTTTGAGGTTTTGTAATTTGGGCAGGCCCAGCACCTCGCTCAAAGTACGTATAGGGGAACATTCCCAGGGGCAGCTCTTCGCAGAATCCCCGCAACTCTGGACAGCTTCAATTCAATTCGTGCCACGCGAGAGGCTAAGCCTTTCGGTCCGGAGACTGAAGGACCTGAAGAAGTGCACTTCCCACTGCAGCAGTCTTCAGCCTGGCTCCCTATAATTCGAGTCCAAAGCTAGAAGTCCCAATATATGCATACCGCAAGACATTCAGGCAATTGCACGGAATGGAATGTTGAATAGGTACGATGCAGAGACCTTGGCGGCCGTGGGGCCTCTTGCGCCGCTGAGCAGGCGGCCTGCGATCAGACTGTTCTGCATGTTTTCTGTATTCGGTACGGACGTTGCTGCAGGAGTTGCTGCTGTTGTAGACTTCGCTCATTTGCATCCTGCTCAGCAGCTCACCACATCTGTTCATGAGCCGGAGGCCAACCTCCGTGCGTGAGGAGGAGTTCAGCCAACTGCAGGAGCCTTCAGAGACGAATGTGACTATACTTCCTGATACAATCAGGACCAGTAAAGAGGACGCCTTAATCTCTGCAAGTAAGCGTACCATAGAGTACCTCTCATGGTGGCGCCTTATTGAATTTGTGGCTGTCCCGTTCAAATGCTTGCACATCATACTGCAATCTTTCAGCTCAACATGGTAATCCCTCCCCTGAAGAGCTCCTGACGCTGCACTAAAACTAAAAGTGTCATCATCACAATTCAGTATCTCGATGTGGTACCAAATCTGATAACAGGAAGAGTGGAGTTTATGACATCAAAGGGGACGGTATTTTGTGCCCCTGTTTGCAGAGCTTCAACCCGTGGTTGGTAGACGACGTTCGTGGCACTAGCGACTGCATGTCCCATGGCAGACTCTACCCCCAGAGCTCCGCAAGAGGGTTCTGGCACTTTTCAAGCAACTTGTAAACCCACGCAGAAAAACGCATGACCATTTAGCTCCAACCCCTGAAACTCATGAGCCGAATTCATGTTTTCGAGCCCCAAGGTGTACTCCAGGATCATCTTAAATTTTTTCTCTTAGGTTGAGTCGGCTGTGTGGCTGTGTGTGTTCGGGTCAGGATCGGGTTGCGGCTTTGGAGTCGATCATCATCGAGATGGGCCATGGTCAGGCCAACGTTAAAATCGGCTCAAAAAGGGATTTAGGGTTTAGGGTCTGGGAAGTGGTTCACTGTCTATGGACGGACGAATGGTGTAGGGCTTCAGACGTGTTTGACTTTTTTTGGTTTTGTATTGTCAGCATGAATTGCCAAGTTTCCAGGTCTTTTGGCACACAATTAGCTGTTCTGTTTTTGGGGTTTACGAACCCACAAAGCTAAGGGCAGCGAGACTCCAATGGGCCGCCTGTCAGGAATCCCGCTTTTCAGGACAAGCCTGCATTTGGCATCATGACTGAGAGAGGTGATTCAGCACCAGGGCCAGAATTCCCCTCCCCTCGTGCACCGGTCGGTGTATGTAAGTCAAGCAAGAAGACGCTGCGAATGTTGCCAACAATTCATATCCCGAGAAGCAACAATTCTAGCAAATCAAGTTTCATCGGAGCCGATGGATGCTGTGGCGCGCATAGCTTGCGAGATAGGAACACCGGTATTCCTGCATGGGCATTTGTTTGTCGCTTGTGTTGTTTCACCGTTGTTCTAAAAGATCGCGTCATGATCAGCATGTTGTTCCAGCCTAGCCTGCACTCCAGCCATGCAAGGGGGAAAAGAACGTGGAGCATGAAACTGCACCCCTCAGCCCTTATCATGCCTAGAATTGCGAAACCATCCGTGGTAAAATTGTTTTGTGTTGTGGTAAACAGAGTGCATTTCTAATGGTGGTTATACCCCCTCCTCAAAGAACGTGACGAGTATGTAAACTTTGAGTACATTACACATTGCTTTCCATTCTTAAAACACGGAAGCCAAACGGCACTACCTTATAGAGAACTATCCACTTGCCGTTCCAATTTTGTTGCGACTCCATGATGTGAGAGGCGCTCCGTGATGCGCGATTTCAGGCTGCCAAGTCATCTCGAAAGCGTTGGGCTTAGCACCAGGGTTCAGGAGCGTGAAGTCACAGTCGCGATGATGATGAGCATGACGGTGGCTCGTCCTAATCTTCCTCGATAGTCTTGACAGAGTTGTGCACACGATTTCCTCCAATCCAAAAGGAATGCTAGCTTCGTGTGCTGAAGTTGCAGTCGCAAATTGTTTTTTTTAGCAGGCCAGCGATTAGAACAAGACGAGCCCAAGCAGAACAGAAGCACAACCCCTGGAACAATCCTCCCAAGCCATCAAAGCTGTGCCCTTCCATCAAGTTGAGTTTTTGCACAGTCCGCAGAGAGGGAATCAAATGATGAGGCAACTGGTGGGTCCCTTGGAAGATATGCTTGAGGAGGCAGATGAGGTCCTTTCTCCGCCGTGTGCTTGGATTTCTAAAATCTGAGTGTGTCCATGGCAGTAGCAGAGTAATGCGAGGGAACGCCTTGTTCCCTTTTGCAACAGTTTCTTTGCCTGGCTGTTTTCTTGGTATGTCATAAGAAGGGGTTCGATCTCCATCGGGTTTCTGAGGAAGCTGCATTTTGTACACATTCTGGTTCTCAAAATCATGAACATCCTGTGACCACGCGTAAGATTCTCAGATACCTTCTTAGTAGTTATCATGACGAGCAGCACGTGCATATTGCAGTCAGTTTCGTATACTTTTGGGCAGGGCTTCGGGGCATACCGACTCGCTGGTGCTGCATTAGTTCCCTGAAGCATTCTGCGAAATCACGCTAAGAACAGTATAGCCCCCCCAAGCCAGAAACCCCAACTGGGTAATACCTTGCTAGTAGGGGTATTCCAATGTGGAAAAGCTGGGATCTGCAGGAATCATTGTTTCTCCTGCAGCCACACTTGGCTGTACACCCCTCACGGGACATTTTCAATTTTTTTTTTTGCTCCTAGGCAATCCCTGTGGCCCCACAGGACTGGCATGTACCCCAAGGCCCCCTTCTCTCTGCAGAGCATCTGATCAAGGCAAGATGCCGTCCAGCGAGAAAAGGTCTGGAGCCCTAGCTTGTCCTCCCTGTTGAGAATTCTGACTCCTTCACTTCTTCATTGGGGAGTTTCGCAATGCATGCGCTGTGATGTTCCCGACAGGGACCTCCACCATCAGCCCGTGATGACCCACATGTAACCCAGGAATTGTCAAAGAAGAAACACCTTGCTTCTTGCTTCGCAAGCATTTGAGTGTTGGACCGTGCGCTGGGCCCAGAGCCCGGGGCCACCATGCACTGAAACGGGGAATGGACTCCTAGTATCCCCCTCAATCATGGAGAATCAAATGGAAAAGAACATGGAAAATGAAAGGGCAACTTGGATTATATTGGGTATTATAGGGGTTACCGTTGCATGAGCGCATCCTAGCTGAAGCAGGATCGGTTGTATTCATTGCCATTGAGTTGGGCGGAGCCTAAAGCCTACTCATAATTGGATTGACGAAATTGACTGAACCCTCAGCCCCAAATTCCAAACCCGAGCACTACAAACTGAATCCTAAATCCTAATCTCTGAAAAAACCCGGATCCTGCGCCCCCCCACCCCACCCCCCTCACCCCCCTCCCCCCAGGCCCTGAGCTCGAAGCTCTAAGCGCAGGCTGGGATCGACAGCATCCTCAGCGACCTACTGGCTGGCAGTTGAGACCTCAGCTTTGTGAGATGATGATGCAGGTTCTTC